TAAACCTTTACCACCAAATCAAAGGCGTGAAAGGCCGTTTTTACTCACCTTTGAACGCCTGTGTTTTTAGGGTTAAAGGTGATCCTTTGATACGCCTTTCCGCACTGTCAAAGGCGGGTTAAAAGTGTAATCAAATTTGTCTGCGATTCGAGTCAAAGGTTTGCTAAAGACGTGGTCAAAGATGCCTGTGACGCAGGTCAAAGGTTTGTCAAAGGTACTCTGCGCGTTCCGCGCTCGCGCGTCTCGCCCGAACTTCTCGCTCGCGTTCCTCTTTCGCGCTGCGCGACCGTTGATCGCGTTTTCGTTGATCCACATCGTATACGCTTTTTTCTGCTTGCTACACTAGCTTTGTAGCTCCGCATACGAAAGATGCAAATAGATCCGTACTCTTGATTTATGTCTGACAAGTTTTGAAGAATATATCAGCTTTAATAAGGTTATTTTGTACCAAACTATTGACAAATGTTAACGGAAAAACGGCCCGGAAAGATCATTGCGCCTAATTTTAAGAAAAGAAATATGTTCAATTTCATCTCAGTTTCAATTTTTTTTCCCCGTTTTTATCAAGACTAAATACCTTCAAGTACCTTACATAAATGTTTTGGGCTTCAGTTTTCAAAAGCCACGTTACAGGCTTGGTTTCAAACTACACGTAATGAGACTGATCATAAGGAAAACATTGTTCTGNTTTCATAAATGTTTTGGGCTTCAGGGTTCAAAAAGCCACGTTACAGGCTTGGTTTCAAACTACACGTAATGCGACTGATCATAAGGAAAACATTGTTCTGTCTATCGTGAAAACAACAGTGAACAAATCTTCCATGGTACAAAGTGCATTTATCTAACATTGAAGTACTATGGCTAAATTCTCAGTTCCTTAAATTTACTAGACCAGACTAGAGAACAGGCAGGATAAACGCAAAATTTCGGGAAAGATGTGGCAAACTTCGCACAAAAGTTAACTAGTGTATAAGCTTCCTTTCCAGATGGCACGTGCAGTCCGTTGTATGGAACTCTTAATGTTTTGGCAGTTCTTCTTTTCTGCTGCTTGCATTTGTTCATTCTTGCATTGTAAGTGGAATGGAATATAGTGTTTTCCACTTCTCTCTCATCAAAGTGGTTAAACTGCCTTGTTGAGGGTCAATGCCAACTGAATCCCCATGCTTTCTAAGGAAGACACATTTTGACAAAGTCTAAGGCGTTGACGAAATCAATCAATGTATCTTCACTGGATAAGTCCATCCTGTCAACCATTGCTTGTCCGCATTTGTCTAAACAGAAGCAAACAGACAAAAACGTTGGAAATGAATATTAAGGGTG